CGAAACCTAATGTAACAAATAGCGAACTCTAAACGAAACCTAATGTAACAAATAGCGAACTCTAAACGAAACTTAATGTAACAAATAGCGAACTCTTAACGAAACCTAATGTAACAAATAGCGAACTCTAAACGAAACCTTATGTAACAAATAGCGAACTCTAAACGAAACCTAATATAACAAAAAGCGAACTCTAAACGAAACCTAATGTAACAAATAGCGAACTCTAAACGAAACCTTATGTAACATATAGCGAACACTAAATGAAACCTAATGTAACAATAAGCGAATTCAACGAAAACTTAATGTTTTATAAGCGAACTCTAAACGAAACCTTATGTAACAATTAGCAATCTCTACACGAAACCTAATGTAACAATTAGCGAACTCTACACGAAACCTAATATAATAATTAGCGAACTCTAAACGAGACCTAATGTTACAATGAGCCAAAATCGGATTGCCGGACCATAATTAGCAATAACAAATCCTTATAACATCTTTTTTTGGTTAAGGTATCTCAAAGTTTATGTTCTGTTCTGTTTGTTACCACTTCTTCAAGCTTTCTTGTTATATAATAGCTCACCCTTTTATTCCAAAAGACGAGCTAAAATTGTGGACCTTCTTAACTCCTACCATCGCATAAACCCGACATCGGACTCTATATGAAACTTAAAGTAAAATGAGCTAAAATCGGATTGCCGGACCATACTTTGCAATGGCAAACCCTAAACAACATTCTTTGTTTTTTATAGCGTTATAACATATGCAAAATTCATTATAATACTATTATGCTGCATAACACTGTATGCAAATTTCATTTAATCAAGGCTATTTATACAGTATGCATTACTTATTATAACAAAACATTCTATGCTTCTTATCTTTTTATATCAGAACAGATTATGCTGCATAATGCAATATGCTAAACTCTTTATATCAGAACAGATTATGCTGCATAATACCATATGCTAAACTCTTTATAACAGAACAGATTATGTTGCATAATACCATAAATAACAGAACAGATTATGCATAATACCATATGCTAAACTCTTTTTAACAGAACAGATTATGTTGCATAATTCCACATGCTAAACTCTTTATATTAGAAGAGATTATGCTGCATAATACCACATGCTAAACTCTTTATATCAGAACAGATTATGCTGCATAATACCATATGCTAAACTCTTTTTAACAGAACAGATTATGTTGCATAATTCCACATGCTAAACTCTTTATATTAGAAGAGATTATGCTGCATAATACCACATGCTAAACTCTTTATATCAGAACAGATTATGCTGCATAATACCATATGCTAAACTCTTTATAACAGAACAGATTATGTTGCATAATACCATATGCTAAACTCTTTATATTAGAAGAGATTATGTGAATATATCCTTATGCAAAACTTTTTATAGTATAATAGATTATATTGCATAATATCATATGCAAAAATCTTCATAACAGAATGTATCATGTTGCATAATGCTATAAGCATTTGTTTTATATTTGTTTTAAAGGGATATTCAGGCAAAATAATGACAAAAATATTAAAATGATCTTTTGTACTCAACTCGCGCTAAAATGACATTTCTAAAAGTTTCAGCATGAATTTCTGTTTAAATTCTATATATTTTGGATTTGAAGCATAAATATATCTATATATGTTGAACAAAATTTAGACGCCAATAGAATCACTGAATAATTTTTAAACAAGTCTGGTGACTTGAACAAATCGTTGAAGTTACATTAACAGATACTGTGGATATTGTATGATTGAAACAAACCTAAATCATTCATTTGACATGTTCTTTAACGTTTCCAGAGTTCACTGTGACAACTATTGTGAAATCCTAGCGCTCTAACCTGACCCACGCGGGTCAGGTTAGGAAACCACCATTTTATTATTTATATGGAGAAAAGTTTTGTTCCTTTGACTGTCTAATATATTTATTTTGAGGGCATTTACAGAATTAAGAACGAAAAATTCAAAACTAAGAAATGAAAATTTTGCCTGTGTCTCCCTTTAATAGCAGAAAAGAATATGCCGTAAAATACCGTATGCAAACAGTCTTTATAACATAATAGATACCATTTATTTCATAATACTGTAGCAAAATTCATTATATGAGAACAGATTTTGTATTTTAATGTCATGAGCTATTCTAAGTATATTGAACAAATTATGTAGAAAGAACAAATGAGCCGCGTCATGACAAAACCAAACATAATGGGTTTTGCGACCAGCATGGATCCAGACCAGCCGCGCGCACCCTGCTAAGGATCCATGCTGTTTGCTGTCAGTTTCTCTACTTGTTATACGGTTTGTCAGCGAACAGCATGGATCCTGATCATGCTAGATTAAATTTAAGTTGAAATAATTTGAAAATTTATATGCTACCTTCTTGGAAGTTTTTATCCGAAAGAGACCGCTACCATGTCACTCAGCTTCTTATAAAGGTTTGTAACGGTTCAGAACTGTTCACTTTTTTGGGGAGAAGATGTGTAAGTTGCCGGATAGCTCAGTCGGTAGAGTCGCGGTACGGTATTCCGAGGGTCCCGGGTTCGAGTCCCGGTCAGACTGCACATTTTTCTAACCCTTTGACAGTTGGCGCCCAACGGGGGACCGTGATTGAATATAGCTGAGAGTTTAATTCCCATTGCTCTGTAACTGTGAAATTCGAGGACGAAATTCAGTAAAGCAGGGGGTATGTCACGGTTCAGAACTGTTCACTATTTTGGGGAGAGGATGTGTAAGTGACCGGATAGCTCAGGCGATAGAGTCGCGGTACCGTATTCCGTGGGCCCGGGTTCGAGTCCTGGTTAGGCTGCACATTTTCCTCACCCTGTGACAGGTGCGCTAAAAATAACTCATTAATTTTTAACCAACCAATGGGCCGTTATAAAAATGGAATAAAGAGTTCAATTTTAAGCGATTGAACTGTATACAACAAAGATTGTTTTTTTTAACATTTTAATAAGCTAAACATAAAATCTTTTTTGCATTTAATCAAATGGTAATGTCGAAAAAAAAACTTGCCAGGACCATACAGGTATCATTTCAAAGACAATAAGTTGCATTTCTGGTACGTTACTCATTTCATTTTGTTCATTTATATCGTGATTCTTGGACTGTCTTTAGACTCAGTAAAACGTTATCTAGAATGTTATCAAATTTTAAGGAAGCAAACGAAAAAATATATATTCAATAGATTAAACGAGTCATTAAAATATATTCTTAAATCTTACCTTTTAAAGAATATCATTCTATCATTTTCCTCAAGTGCACTGAATAAAGTAACAGAATCTGATGTAGCATTACGAAAACAAGCAATAAATAGGTAACAGCGTTCATGGAGTGATATCGTGGAAAAGTATATTTTATATTAATAGAATTATATAACATATTATTAAGTGTTAACTAATAGGAAATGTAATATTTACGGTGGCACAAATGTGACATGTATGTGTATTTTAATTTATCGCGTGGCCACGAGTGACTAAGTCGTGGCCACGAGATAGCTAAGTCGTGGCCACGAGTTACCAAGTCGTGGCCACGAGTTACTAAGTCGTGGCCACGAGATAATATGTCGTGGCCACGAGTGACTTAGTCGTGGCCACGAGATAGCTAAGTCGTGGCCACGAGATAGCTAAGTCGTGGCCACGAGTTACCAAGTCGTGGCCACGAGTTTCTTAGTCGTGGCCACGAGATAATATGTCGTGGCCACGAGTGGCTAAGTCGTGGCCACGAGATAGCTAAGTCGTGGCCACGAGTTGCTAAGTCGTGGCCACGAGTTACTAAGTCGTGGCCACGAGATAATATGTCGTGGCCACGAGATAATATGTCGTGGCCACAAGTGACTAAGTCGTGGCCACAAGATAGCTAAGTCGTAGTGACGACACACGAACACCGCAATACACCAATCTAATTAGAAATAAAATGCTTAAGTTCACAGTTTATCAGCGACAATTTGAATCAGGTCAACTAATTTCTGTTATCCACAAGTCTCGGGTTTTTGCAACGGTTATGTCATCTTGGAAACATAATAATTGCCGTTTGATTTGTGGATATCGATAAAATATAATGTTAACAGATATCTTTCTACTTAGTTTCTGACATATTTAAGTGTATTTATGCCAACTTTCTGTTTTTACTTGTCACCAATAATTCTCGTTACGTGAACTAATGTCGTTCTACTGTGTACATGTGTAAGTATTTTTATATGCAATTTGTCGTAATGTCGTAACCTTTGTTTATTTTTATCAACAATGCTTCTCGGCAACGTAAACAGATATTTTTTTTCTTCTTTGTTTAAGTACATTTGTTTCTTAACATGTATAGATATTTCTTATGCAAACTCTGTTACATATATCATAACATTTGTTCATACTCGTTAACAATACTTCTCGCTAATTGTAACTTGTATCACTTTACACATAGTATACAGAATCTGATTTGACTATAAATTGTATGTTTACATTTTTTATGTGCAATACAATTTATGCTATGTTATGTTATATAGTCATTGACCATTTTTTCATTTAAGATTTACGCATAAGTGCTTATTTTATTTTATCAGTATTCATAATCTAAACAACGTGCGTGAAGTAAGTAAATTATTGGAAATAAAAACACCAATAGTGAATTTAAATTGTTAGATCACAAACGCTGGAATTTCATTGGTTACATTTTCACAATGCGTATATTATGCGCTCATTAAGTGCGTATATTATGAAATTACATACATACACTGCACTTCGGTGTGTGATTTTTATAACATATTAGGATTCATGAAAGACAAACACATTTTTCTTTTTTTTTTTCATTTAAAATGGCTAAGCAAAACACTACTCAAACCAGAGATATTTCAAAGCTTCATCATTACTTTAATCAATTTTAATGAAGTAATGATACAGTTTGTTATTTGAATTCAGAAATGTGCCATGACAAACAAAAATCATATGAGTTTAAATGGAGGAAAGAGACCACCGTTGTGAGGATCTAATTATTTTTCGAAAGAACACAGTTTACAAAGACGTCTGGACACATTTGTAAAGAATATACAATTAACAGTAATATGAACTTTTCTTTCTTTTTGTATTTTTCATATCAAAAGCCAACTGAGAGATGAAAATTAATCAAGAATTTGTTCTTTTATGGCAAATATCTTTGTAGGGTCTGACCTAGATACCGGAATCTACAGTATTTGTAAACTAATAACAATGTTGTTGCCTTTGTTACAGTCTCATTAATATGCTTAACTGTTGAAAGGTCATTTTAGTAAACATCGTAATACACTAGTCGGTCTAATTGACTGTAAACTTTTTATGATATGTATATACGATGTAATATGTAATGCATAACATTTTGGTTTTAAACCATCTTTTAATGTTGTCAGAAAATGACAGTGTTAAAAATTTACAATAATCATAAACCAATCTTAGCATACAGCCGTCCCAAAAATCTTCAAGATTCACTCACCCATTCAACTCTAAATAAACGGAATATGAACGGTAAAACTAATAAGTGTAATAGAAAAAGATGTACTCACTGTAAAAATATTGAAGGAAAATAGTAAATTCAACAAGTACAAATACTGTGGAGAAACATTCGAAATGCATTTTGATGGAAATTGTACTTCTAGTGACGTGATTTATTTGATTACTTGTAAAAAATGTAAAATACAGTATGTCAAATTCATATCAAAAAGAATGAACAGCCATAAATTTGATATAAGAAGTAATAATCATCCCAATTTTTCTTCTAATGTTGCAATTCATTTCAATTCCGAAGATCACTCACTTGATGACTTTTCCTTTATGCCGATTGATAAACTTCATTAGTCGCCGGTAGAAACCGGCGACTATATTTGTAACAGTTTAATATTATATTTATGGTAGGAGAAGGCCTTAAAATCTGAATATAAAAGCAAATCAATTACTGAAAAATTATGGACCACAATTATGTTTCATAATCTTAAAAAATCAAAAATAAAGTACCGTTGCTAAATGAAATGAAATATACAAATATTGACATCTCTTAAAAAGCAAACATTAACAATTTTCATAAAATGAATTAATAACGTATCCCTATGGACCAGTCATTGAATTTAGGGATACTTTTACTTTTTTCTAAGTGTCAAGCGTTGCTATTTTATGATTGATAAATCATGAATGATATTTGAAATGACACATTTAAATTATTTGGTTGTTTATATCTTATGAGACCTGTTATATTTCATAATTTTATCTAATTATAAACAGATTCTCCCTGTTCTATTGTAAGAATCACGTGGACTACACGTTGTATGTTAGTGTTGTAAATCTATTAATAGTAACAGATTGCTGGTTACTTGTGATTAGTTGGAAAAGTGTCTGGTTAGATGTAATGTATAAAATAATTACAAAGTTATCTTTCATTAATCAGTTTCATATTTTATATCATTAGAAAGGTCTGTATACAATGTACTCATAATTTGCACATCAAAGAATTAAATAAGTTTTCAAAACCTTTTTATAGGGTTAAACGTGGCCCTTTCTGTCAGCGTTCAAAAGTTTAGTTTAGGTTGAACAAAACAAAATAGATTTATGCGAAAGAGGCACATTTATTGAAATAGTGGTAATCGTCGTCTTCGTTATATTCCGTCGATTTCCGTCGCGCAGGTTACCAAAACTGTAGGACGGATGAAATTAGATACACAATAAAGAAAACTAATAAAATATCTTTTTGTTAATATTTTATCAAACTGGAAAGCAATTAAACGTTTACTATATCGTATGTAATGACAAGAAATATTTGATTTCAACTAAATAATTTATTTTTTCGAATAGCGCAAGAAAAATTTACGCAGATACCACTTTTACGGTAGAATTGCATTGTTTTATGCAATAATTAAAACATATATATTTTCAAATATTCGATGACCGTTGATTATTTGGCGTATCGGATTCTGAACTATACAAAACGGATTTCGATGTCTGGTATAACGGTAAATGTATAAGATAGAATTACAAGTAGAATTACAAGAATATCACTCGCCTTTACAAAATTAATCAAAATTATGAAATAAAAAAATGCTAGAAAATGAAAACACGATTTATCAACTTATGTTTCATATATATTTAACAGAAATAATAAAAAAAGATAGTTTTATGAAAACTGCAAAAGGGATTTTTAAAGATTCGAACTTGACCTACTAGGTCACAACTTCGTCCTACTTACCGCCTGTACGCAAATCGAGCAATATTAATTGATTTAATATCGAGATCTATACTATCAATAAAATCTTTAGCATAAAATCATAATAAGTTACGTAAAACTAACGAAACACCTGCCCCGGAAATTAAAATGAGTCTAAGGTTCAATATTGCCAGACAATAACTTGCTTATTTAATAATCTAGCAGTTTCTTGACAATAATGCTAAGCAAGTTTGCTTTACATATGATGTTTTATTGTGAATAAACAATTACACAACATATTGTTCCTCTTTTCTTTATACATGAACTGATATTTTCTTATATTTATGATAATACAGTCATTTTCTATCCGGCGACTTGATGCTTTAGCATCAAAATCTCTACTTGTGATTATATGGGGAGACTTTTGAAAGAGACATACTGGATCAAACTCCTCACAGCGGTTACGTCACGCTTTGCTACTTTATTACTTTGTTACTGTACAGATCAGGGGAAGTAACCGCTGCGAGGAGTTTGATACTGGATACATAAGTTAGAAACATTTACCCGAAGTGTTTGAATGCAAAAGTGAATTACAAAATTTAACATCAATTTTCAAGTAAATTTTATATACTTGCAACTTTTTACAAACTCGTCAATATTTTTTTTAGTACATATCGGCATAAAAAGACTGTTCTATTTTAGTAATCATTTACTGTATCTAAAAATGTTATTAATTTATTTAAATCTATACAAATACATTATTTATGTCGATGATAATAGTATTTAATTACCTCCCTTTATTCACGCATAATTTTGATTGTTACATTTATATACTACATTATTCGTAATGTATTCATATGGTTTTTCATTATTTCATATAACATAAATTGATTTTGAGCATAATGCCATATTTTGAATAGATGATAGATAGATCATTTTCATTTTATTTGATAGCTTTTTAAAATATACTGATTAATAACGATGTTTCTAAATTATTATCTCCCTTTTTTACAATTTTCAACATGTGATTAAAGCACATTTTTTTCGAATTTTAAACTTTCACATAAGTAACTGTTGTTTTCATACTTGTTGTAATTATTTACTAGCCTAGTTTCTCTATGAAAATATATGTATCTTTTGATCCAGTTATTTTATGTAATTCTTTTCGAAAATTATATAATTATGCTACGTTTTTTTAAAAAAAATTAAGTTTATACATACATATGCACATGTTTTATTGTATTACTTTAATATTGTAATATTATCACGTTCCTTTTACGCGCGAAATGTAACGTCTATTAACGTAGACGTTTATTTTGTACGTTTACGTCATTTTAATATATGTATCAACTGAGGAAGCTTAATAAAGCGAAACATGTTTTGATACTTAATTTGTGTTGGTTTTTGATCCAATTTTCCTATGGTTTTAAACCATAACATTTTAAGCAATCAAATTGATAATTATATTAGTTATTTCATGCACTTTCAACGTTTGAACCACGTGATGTTCCAATAAACATCATTATCGGATCTTATCTTTTCACTTTATCCGCGTTTCCATTTTCAGAGTCCAAAAACTTCATCAAATCCATATTGTATTCTATATAACATTTTTCATTTCAAAGTCTAAGATATCAAATGCAAACTTTAATCTGTCTGTTGCGTATTTTAAGGGTCAAAATTCATTAATACCTTAATGCATTTGAAGTCAAAAAGTTCTATAATCAAAGCACAGAACGCGCTGAATTTGTTTGGGTCTCAGAATGTCAGAAAGGTGAAGGTTGTGAGATTATAAAACAATGTGTTTTTGTATAGTGCCACCAATGCTCTCCAGTGTTTTAATTGTAGTAGATTGGCTATAAGACTAATTGCAACACTGATATTCAATCCAATGTTTATTTGACTTAAACATTTTGAAGAAAAAATGAGTTGCCTTCACTGGGATTTGAACTCCAGACCTCTCGCTTCCTCAGCGAGCGCTCAAACCACTCGGCCACGGTAAATTTTCATATAAATGGCCTGAAGAAAACCATTTATTTCATGCTTTCCATTGTTTTATTGTAATATATCAGATGATTATATTCTGATAAACCACTAGTGAAATTTATAAAATATAATTTTCACTGTAGCCGGACTATATCTGATGAAAAGAAAATCATAACTTAATGGAATAACAGGCAGAAATAAATGCCGTCATGCGTAAATTTTGCTTCTTTAGGAAAACAAAGTCGATGTCACTATACATCATATTAAAAATGTAACAAAATGAGAGAAATTTAACAGAACTATATTTCAAAATTGATGATGTGACGTCATGGTGTGATGACGTCACAATGGAGAGTGCGCGACGTTACGCGGCAAAATCAGTAAAAAAAATACTTAAAATCACTTAAAAAGCATGAAATAAAAAGAAAATTTAATTGTTTTACATGCAGGATTGAAATATATTTCATTCGTGAAAATATTGCATCTTGTGTTCACTCAGTGAAATTATATTTCAATCTTACATGCAAAACAAACAAATATCCTCTATATTATTCTAAATTAGGGTTTGTAACGACGCTAACTGTTGTTTAACACTTGTGCGCTTACCAGAAGCATGCATATCTATAAAGAATGAAACAATATTAGAAATCTTCGACCATTCGGGAATTACTTTGCTTGAAAATTAATGCGCCTGTCATGTGACCATATTTACGCAGTGATCTCCCCTGAATTTTTCGGCCTTAGTGTTACATATAAAGCGGACTACTTTCGGCATTTGCAATTAACAGCATTAGAGTCTGAAATTTTGATACCATTATTTGTTTGGTCTGACGACCCAAACAAATAAAAAATAAAGAGTTCCTTATGCATTGTTGAGAACAACACTTATTTCATTGGACACCTACAAAGGCTACATCTTAAGTTCTAGCTCCTCGTCCAATATAGATCTGACAGTCGTGTACTCGTCCGGTAGAATTCAGTATTGTACACAATAATGTACCTTAATATAATAACCTTAATATGCATATAAGATAGATATGACAATAAGAATTATGCTAATGGACACAACTAAATGCAAGTCTGCTTATCTTCGAAAAGACAGTTTGGTTTATAGTCATTTATACTATTTTGTTATTAGTATTCTGTGAAGGCTTTTGCTAATAAAATATTTTTAGCTTAACAGAAACACAGCTAACAGTGCCTAGACGTCGTATAAATGTCTTCATATATATTGAGTAAAAAACAAAATAAGCGCCATTAAGAATGCCATCTGAAAATATTCACGGTGACTTAATAACACGTGACTTTTTGTGGTTTGCGTTAGACAAATACGATCAATTTTTTAATTTCTTTTTGAATATTTAATTTTTTATGGAATTAAGTGTAAAGCGCGCTCATTCTAGTGATAAACATATGCATTGAGAGTTTAATTTAAAAAGCTATAACAAAACATTCCTGCCTGGACCTTTTGTCCCTCGCAAATCACAAAAACATCACGCGGGACAGGCATGGTTATTTTTTTTGTAAACATCCAATTATACAATAAGATCTACATAACTGCAACATTTTTCATGAGTTACATTTGGGTGCAGATAAACAAATTGTAAACATTCTTTATTATATTTGTAGATATTTTTACACGAATGACCACACAGTTAAAGATTTTTCGATAATGGGGCTGGAAAAGCTATACGGGAATGACCAATACAGAAAAACAATAGAAAATTTGTGGAAAAATAAATTAAGAACCTATAGACCGTATGGAGTTAATACAAAAGAATAACGCGGCAGACGGCAACCAACGCCACGGCGGGCGTCGTTCATTGACGTTACGTCACTTCCATTGTTTTGTTTGATATATTTGTATGTGAAATAAATGCTGCTGAAGAAGGCCGCAAGGCCGAAAGCTACGGCAAATTTAAATAGCGTTTTTGCTTATATATATATATATATAAGTGGTAATACTTTATTAAATATTTATTCAATATAATATATTATGGTAATATCCAATGATTATATTTCACAAATCTTAAATAATACGATGTTGAATTTTACTTACATTTGCGCACTTAAAATGCCGGGCTTTCATCGTTTCAATAAAGATAAGTGAGCCGCATCACAACAAAACCAACATAATGGGTTTGCGACTAGCATGGATCCAGACCAGCCTGCGCATCCGCGCAGTCTGCACAGGAGCCATGCTGTTTGCTTATAAAACCTATGGCAAGTAGAGAAACTGATGGCCAACAGCATGGATCCTGATCAGACTGCCCGGATGCTCAGGCTGGTCTGGATCAATGCTGGTCACAAACCCACTATGTTGGTTTTGTCGTGACGCGGCTCGAATTTAGTTTCACGTGGGCGTTTTCAATGAACTTTTAAAACTATCTGATAGATTAAGTCGTTTTATATATGTTTAAAAATATAACTTACTTGAAATTACCGATATTATCTTCATTTTGATGAATATAAGGGGTCGGAATACGTTTCCGTAAGAAAGAACCATCGGTTTCGGTTCCGGTATAAACAAACCGTTTTTATATAGGAAGTTATAAAAAGTGTTATTTTGTAGAAAAAATGGATATATTGAAGATATTTTTGAACGGTACATGAGATAAGTGACATTTGCATCTGAATCTGCATTATTACATCATGTTTGCTTTTAATAATTGAAGCTATTTGCTCTTTGTTTGCTATACTCTGCAGAGGGTCAGGTCAGAGGTCATTTTATTTGCAGCTCACCTCCCCTTGATCGACGATTCGTCACGCTTGAAAGATGCGCACTTGATTTTTCACGGATTATGGTTATCAGATATTATGCATGGTCGGATTGAATAATGCTAGGCTAGTAAATTCAGCATTATATCCGAACATTTTTTAATCGAATATGAGCCTGTGGGGTTAGTTGATAATACAAAGGTGAAAGTACCGATAACCACACGGCATTTTTGACGGGATATCGTACGCGTCGTCCTTCGGGGCAGCGGCGATGGCCGAGAATTCCTTTAAAAAATCTGATACATTTTTCCACGAATATAACAGATTTTAAAACCTCTACAGATGTATGCCATCATTAACATTTGTCTCGACTACGCATTAAGCCGTCGATGTGTACTCTAGCGGTGAAGAGGATAGACTCAGACAACTTGAACAGTTCTTAGATAGTCCAGGTGTCGTGAAGATAGCACAGTGCATTCAACACGCTAGTCCACACAGAGTATAACCGGACCAAGAATAGAACTTAGTTCCGGAAACGTTTTCCGACCCACCACCTATATGGAAAGAATCCCTGATGTATATTTGTCACATAAGTGTCAAACTGAAAATAACGTTAAGTTACCCTTATCAACGGAAACGAGTAAGAGCAATTCTAAGACTATTGATATACATTCTAAACTAAATACGAAGAGTTCAAACAACAAGAACAGTGTCAATAATACGGAACAGTCCGAGTCGTCTGGTATAAGCAATACGATTGCGGAACATTCGTCAAACACGAGTAATACTCCGTTACACAAACCATCTCGCTCTGCCGGTACTTTACTAAAGCGACAAGATGTTACATTCGTGAGATCCATGTCAACATTACCGAAAATGGAAAAATACCGGTTCGTGTGTCGACTCGTGAGTAGAGAGATTCAAATCAATATGACAGATTTGATTGGCACGCAACAAGGCCCAGGCGTAGATTTCTTTGTAGAGGATATAACAGATCAGTGTCATTAAAACATCTTACAAACTTTGTAACAAACCGAGGGTCAACTGTGTCCTTCATTCGCAAGTTTCCTGTGCGAAACTAAAAAAAAATAAAGTTGTCATTCGTTTGAACATTGAAGCTAACGAAAACGCTGATCTAGTACTTCACCCGTGCTTCTGGCCTAGAGGAATAACGTGTTAACACGTACAGAGCTCCGTGACTATGGAAACAGAGCAGCTGATTACAACGCACGTTACATTTCTGTAGATGAGAATACTGATTTTAAACATTACAATCGTACAGTCCGTTTTAATTATAACTTATACTTTTATATGGCATTGTATTTTGCATATGAAACAAATAGAAACATATGGTATCTTTTTACATCAATCGAATTGTTGGTAGAATATTAAATGGCATGAAAAGCATAAAGCAAGCGAAAAAAATGTATTATGAATATTATGCTGATTTAAAATTAAATAATTTATAACGCAAAACATGTTATTATAAATTTTAGCGAAACGAATTGATACCATGATGTTTCTTATTACTTCTGATGATATATGACATGATATAAAACAAACATGGTTACATGTATAGTCCATCACCATAAATATTAGATCAATTTAATTTCTTATATTATTATATCCTAATCCTTTTAGTATACATAATTGATATTTGTCACAATTGTATGTTCTATGTACACCTATATGTTAATTTGTAAAATGTAGTGGCTAGCCACTAGAAACTGTAAAGTTTATGTGAAATAAATTTGTTCGTTCGTTCGTTCGTTCGTTATCGGTGAATGTTTATTACAATGTCTAATATAATATGTATAACTCTCAAATTAACTTGTCTCGGCATCATGTCTTCGGTGGCGTATTTATGTTAAATGCTTGGTAAATACAATATCGTAGTTTTAAGGTTACCCGAGCATTGTTTATTTCACAACAGTCTACATGTGTTTAGCTCAATAAATGGTCACTATAAATTTCATGCTGTGGCAGACTTTAGCGGAAAATGTGGCGTTGCAATATTGTGGCATAGAACACTGGATAATTTTATCACACCTATTCCTATTGAAGACGACCGTTTGAAGACGACCGTATAATTTGCGTACAGTTACAAGTGAAACCAGACTTATATTTGCTTATATTTCAAGTATTTTTGCCATGTACAAATCACACCATAGACACATTTAACGAATATATTGACAAACTGTACTATTTGTGGTACACATATAAAGACTATGGAATACCAGTTTTTATAGGGGATTTCAAAGTGAATGTGGTTGCAAACTCTACAAACACTAGAGAGCAGTTATAGCTGCACAAATTTGGAAGTCACTAACAAATTAGATATATGTAAGGGTGCATCATATTCATATGTGTCATACGGTACCCAGCAAACACTCGACGTTGACACAACGTTGGATCAACGTTGAATTTTGGTCGCGACGTCGGTGACCTTCATACAACGTTAAACCAACGTTGAATCTCCGACGTCTAACAGACGTTTCATTTTGACGTCGACTCGACGTCGGGTTTTGGTCGGTAATCTGACAATATGTGAATCTAATTTATGAAACCAATATATATATAAATGAAAGCATAAACAGCTAGAATTTTAAATTTAAGTTTAGAAAGGGAAAATGATATATTTATTTTCTCCATCAAAACAATACAGTATCACGTGGGTGGCTACGTACGATATTCGATAGGTGGCGCTCGGTAAACGGATAGTCGCAGATCAGTATGAAATATATTTGCTCTATTTTCGTTTAAATCATATCTTATCTCCTCGAATTAGTCTAAGAAGTGTTTATATAATTTACAATGAAGTTGTTATCATTTTTGAGGGCTTTATTTTATAGTGGTAAATAATTTAGTAAATTCGAATTGGCGACATATATCGGATTTGAAATTCAATTGTATTGGCGGACAAAAAAACAACGAGTTGACTGACAAAGTTGAATATTCCAAACAAAATGAAAAGGTAGGCAAACATTATATATTGTTTTTCAATGCTTCTTTACCTCATGTTTGCATGGATTCGATGGCTATTTGATCATTGTAATGTTTGACTGGTAAAACCTAATGTCACGTGATTTCGCGAGATAAACATTTTTGTTTCCTCGTACGAGCACTATAATATTTACTATAGAACAGTCTGTATCACCACACTATATCGCCAGGCCAAATAAATGCACAATCAATGGTAGGAAATATCCTAGCAATTGAAATCAATAAAAAGTTAAATGCAGTACGTTAGACTCTTATTATTCAAATGCTGGTAAATAAAATTCCCTCTTATTTCTTATCAGCATGAATTTCCCTTACATAAGGGGCCAGTCATTTACACATGTATCAGATGCACAGTTTGATTTTGATATCTGTGTAGTTGTAAAACTACTCGTTGTTAATTGAAGTACTTTACCAATACTGTAAGCATACCATGTGTTTCTTATATAATGATAATGATTCATGGCATTTGATACATGTAAATGATACGACTTTGGTAAGATATATCTGAAAGCACATTGTTTTTGACTAGCTATCTTTTTATTAATGTAATCAAACAACATATTATAAATCAGAAAACACATTATCATAGTTTTATTACATGTTTTGCAGTAGATTACTGAATTATAACGGTTAATTATATTCTGATAATTTCACAGTAATGATTACCAAATATAATTTCACAGTAGCCGAACTATATTTGGCGTAAAAATAAAATATTTATCATTAATGAATGTTTTTTCAGCGGAAATGTAGTCAATCATAATAAAAAATGTACGTGATAACTGTAGTTCGTAAATATTTACGAACGTTGTGCTGAAAAACATCTAAAATCTAAAAATAATCATGGAATTATATTTTGCTTCAACATTGTGACGTCATTATTTGATGACGTCATGAAGATAAGAGCATGACGTTACGCGGCAAAAATCAGTAAAATGGTGTAAAAATCGTTAAAAAATCATGAAATAAACAGAAAATTTGTTTGTTTTACATGTGAGATCAAATAATATTTCACTCGTGAACCCCAGCTATTATATTTTCACTCGTGGCTACGCCACTCGTGGAAAATATTGCATCTGGTGTTCACTCGGTGAAATATTTTTCGATCTTACACTGAAACAAACAAATATCCTCTATATATAAATCAATAAAAGTAATAGTTTGTTAATTAGGCTGCTTATCAACAAGTTATATGTTCGTATCATAAAACGTGTGTACACTAAGCCAGTCTGTCCTATATACACTTAGCAGATCGGATCATGCTGGGCAGAGATGATATCTATAAAAATGACAGTAACATGTGAATTTCTTCGATGTTGTATGAAAATGTGTATAAATTACATTGAATATAAAAAATAACAATGTCAATTTTTTGCGGGAGTAGAATTAACTTGGTATTTGTTATGTTAGTTTTTCATGCCCTTATGAGTTAACTAAGATTAATAATATTTGGATTTTGCCTATTGTATTAGACAAACATCCTTCCACCACATGGTTAAATTCTAAAATGATTATATTTCGTCTTTCAGATTGTGGAAATTATGATAATTCAACATCTGGCAAAAGTTCAGGAGGAAGATGAAAGTATTAAGAGGAAAAGAAAAATGAAAACCTACCAAGATTTTGTGACAGGTATATTTCAAAATATTATAGAAAATACAGTGATCTTATTACCCTTGATTTTATAATGAAATTCACGAAGCCATTTTTATCAAAATCAATAGATATATAGGTACACTTAACGTTAACTACATATGGTTTAAACTAGATAGAAAATAATAAATATCTTTTTTTAAGTAGTTGGAGAGTTTGTCAGAATTTCATTTAATTATAATATGTAAAAGTGATTTATTTCTTGCACTTGTAATTGATTATTTTATTTTTTTTAATTTCAGAAAGTGTGATGAGATTTCAGGTTGGAGACGGTAATGATACGCTTAAACTTTAAAGTATGCCCCAGACACAGTGTAGGAGGACGAAAGAAGATACATAAACATTGCTATTTATAATAATGACAAAATATTCAGAATATTGTTCCATTTAACATTCAATTCTAGATTCAGTTATAAAATACAAAGGCAAATATACAATCAGTGAACTGGAAAGATGATTAGAAAATCCTAAAATCAGGGTGATCAGTTCATGATCAGTGGTGATATAAAAACACATATATGGATGTTTACTATACAAAATGTCAGTGGTAATATTCAAGAAGGATTTTGTGTATCTAATTTCTAAAACATGCTTATTTAATACATAAAGCGTTATTAAAGTACCTACTTTCAAGTTTAATAGTTTCAAAAATATATTGTAAATCTTGCATTTGTTATCGTACCACATTTCTTGTTTGGAACTTGTGATTCCGAGTATACAAATAAATTGCTAAAATTATAAGAATGCTTATTTGTTTACCCTATTATTACAAAATCGTATTCCAAAAGTTTTGAATGAGGTTAAAGTCTAAATCATGGTCAGAAAATTTGGTCAGATAAGGTTGGATTATGGTCAGATAATGGTCAGAAAAGGTTGGATTATGGTCAGAAAAGGTCGGATTATGTCCAAATAATGGTCAGGAAAGGTTGGATTAGGGTCAGATAATGGTCAGAAAAAGTTGGATTTTGGTCAGAAAAGGTTGGATAAAGGTCATTATATGACGTTGTATAGACGTCGGTTTTCTGACGTCTAAAAAACTTTCAAATCCAACCTTCTGCCAACGTTTACCCAACGTCAGGGTCTAACGTCAGTACAACGTTGGTACAACGTCTTTTGTTTGCTGGGTAACTGTTATCATTCATTGATAGATCATATATTATTACCAGTTGAAACTTTATGCTATTTAGTTATTGTGAGATAATTGACGATAATTCACTGAATGTGTCACGTCATAGGCCTATAGTAGCATCATTTTGTATTCCGCTTATAGAGGGCGACTGTATTAACCGCCTTCGGACAATACCAGATGAATCAAAGATTAACTGGCGAAGAGAACAGCGCGATTCCAATCACTTTTAAGAGAGGATTGTGAATTAACGCGATAACAAACGAGTAACCTAGAGAAACAGGACATAGAAAAGGCGTACGATACATAAACTAGTGCAATCTCAATTGCATCTCAATGCCTACCTGTTTCAAAATTTAAGGCTTATCGTTAACCATATTGGAAAAGTGATCTTGATAATGCACATTAACACCTGGCTAAAATGAGAAGATTGTGATGCGCGGAGGGTAGGCCTCGAGTTCAATGTAATGATAATTATATACAATATAAAGCTGCAAAGTGCGCGTTAAGACGTTTACATAGATATCATGTGCAACAACATCTTATTGGTATTAATCAGGAAATTGACCGTACCCCCGAGATAGACACAAATAACAGAAAAAAATCCGTCGGATTATCTACAGGGGCGGGCATCAAATTCAATAACCGAATCGATCGAAGCAATCTATTATCAGGATGTGACTGAACAATGGGTTTCATACTTTATACAGAGATCTTTATTATCCCTTCGAACACCCAGTATATAATGATGAATGGTATGGTATTGTAAATGAACATAATTCAATAGTTACCAGCTCGTTGGTACCAGACAAAGTGTTACAGTATTACCAGATACTATCAATAAATTAATAAAATCATGTCCTAAAGCTGCGGTCTCACTTACTCCCGGCAGAGCCCAGGACCATCCCGGTAAGTTACCGGGATGATCCGGGACGATCCGTGGTGAAATTATTGTTGTGGTCACACTTACCCCGGCAGCACTACGGTTGTTCCAACTAACCACCCAGGATGCGCTCCGGATCATCCAGGCAGAGCCCAGGTGAAGCTACGGTTCATGCCGGTGCTTCCCCGGTCGTAACCGGATGACGCCGGAAGAGCCCCGGTTGACACAGGCAGAGCCCCGGTCGTTCCAGGTAGAGCCCCGGCAGAGCCCAGGACGATCCAGGCAGAGCCCCGGTGGATTGAAAACGCCCGAAAATGATAACATTGATACATATTTTTTATTTAATACAATGTCTTACATGTTACGAAAGTTTTTTGTCCGATGGGATTATTATTACCCTACATAAAGGTGGAGAAAAAGAGAAAAGACGATCCAAATAATTATCAGGCTATTTCTCTTACGTCAACAAAACTTTTTGAAATGGTACTTTAAGAAAGATGTACTGTAAACATAAACTTTCGGAAAAAATAAATCTCCAGCAAGGCGGATTTCAAGAACAACTGGGGTCATTGATCATGATGATGTCTTTTATATTACGTGAAAGTGTGTTTTTCTCACGGGAACAAGATAATAAACTTTATGTCTGCTTTCTAGATAGGCGTCAATCATTCGATCGCATGTGGCATGAGGGCATCTTCTACAAACTCTTAGAAGTTCATATCGACGATAAGTCATTCCTTGCCTTTAAAGCAGCAAACCTCCAGATTCCTGCTAATGTTCATGAAAATTTTGAAAATGTATTCAAAAGTAAAATACTATTAAGCTGACAGAGAAAATAATATGCAAATTTCAAACGGTACTTACAACCAATGTAAATTACAAACAAGAGGGCCATGATGGCCCAAAGTCGCTCACCTGTATATAGGCCCCCGGAGCAGGGCCAGTTTAAACCCCAGGGCTTTTATTTGAACAAACTTGGTTGACACCCATTAGAAGATGTTTCATGCTAAACATCTAAGGTCTAGCTTATTGGGTTTTTTTAAAAGAAGATTTTTTATGTATATAATATATATATATATATATATATATATACACACACATATATATATATATATATATATATATATATGTGTGTGTGTATGTATGTATATATATATATATATATATATATATATTTTTGTATGTATGTATATATGTATATTGTATATATACAATATACATATATACATACATACAAAAATATATATATATAAGATATATATATATATATATATATATATATATATATATATATATATGTATGTATATATATATAATATGTATATATCTAAAAAAAAAGTCGAGCTAATGAATGACCCCCGGGGCGGGGCCAATTTTGACCCCAGGGCTCTTATTTGAACGAACATGGTAGACATCCATTAGAACATGTTTCATGATAAATATCTTAGCTCTAGCTCTTTGCATTCTTTAAAAGAAATTTTTTTAAGTTTTTACTATATGCATATAGGGAAAATCAATGACCCCCTGGGGTGGGGCCAATTTTGACCCCAGGGCTTTTATTTGAACAAACTTGGTAGACACCCATTAGAAGATGTTTCATGCTAAATATCTTAGCTCTTGCTCTTAGGGTTCTTTAAAAGAAGATTTTTTAAGTTTTTACAATATACATATAGGGAAAATCAATGACCCCCAGGGCGGGGCCGATTTTAATTCTAGGAACAAAATTTGAACAACTTTGGTTTTGGACCTATAGATGATACCATAGACCAAATATCAAAGCTCTAGGCCATTTACTTTCAGACCAGAAGATTTTTCAAGTTTTCACTATATGTATATAATGAAAATCAATGACCCCCGAGGGCAGGGCCAATTTTGACCCGAGGGCCATAATTTGAACAATCTTGGTAGAGGTCTACCACACAATGTTTCATGCCAAATATCTAACCTGTAGCCTTTGCCAATTCAGAGAAGAAGATTTTTTTATGTTTTACTATATACATATTAGAAAAACCTATGACCCCCCGGGGCGGGGCCAATTTTGACACTAGGGACAAAATTTGTACAACTTTGGTATTGGACCTTCAGATGATACCATAGACCAAACATCAAAGCTCTAGGCCATTTACTTTCAGACCAGAAGATTTTTCAAGTTTTCACTATATGTATGTAATGAAAATCAATGACCCCCCGGGGCGGGGCCAATTTTGACCCTAGGGCCATTATTTGAACAATCTTGATAGAGGTCTACCACACAATGTTTCATGCCAAATATCTAATCTGTAGCCTTTGCCAAATCAGAGAAGAAGATTTTTTTATGTTTTTCTAAATACATATAAGGAAAAACCTATGACCCCCCGGGGCGGGGCCAATTTTGACACTAGGAACAAAATTTGAACAACTTTGGTAGAGGACCCATAGATGATACCATATACCAAAAATCAAAACTCTAGGTCATTTACTTTTAGACCAGAAGATTTTTCAAGTTTTCACTATATGTATGTAATGAAAATCAATGACCCCCCAGGGCGGGGCCAATTTTGACCCTAGGGCCATTATTTGAACAATCTTGATAGAGGTCTACTACACAATGTTTCATGCCAAATATCTAATCTGTAGCCTTTGCCAAATCAGAGAAGAAGATTTTTTTAGATTTACCTATAGACATATAAGGAAAAACCTATGACCCCCCGGGGCGGGGCCAATTTTGACACTAGGGACAAAATTTGAACAACTTTGGTAGAGGACCCATAGATGATACCATATACCAAAAATCAAAGCTCTGGCCCATGTACTTTCAGACAAGAAGATTTTTTAATTTTGTGTTTTTTGAAATCCTTTTCTGGCCCTGTGACCTACATATGCAACAGACCGGAACCATTTGAACAACTTTGAAAGGGGACCACCCAAGGATCATTTCTGTAAAGTTTGGTTGATGTGCAGTCATTGGTTTCAGAGGAGATGTTGTTTATGTGAAAAGTTGACGACGCACGACGACGGACACAGGGCGATCACAATAGCTCACCCTGAGCATTGCTCAGGTGAGCTAAAAAGAGGTCAAAATATGCAAAATTAACACTTACAGCGTTAGTAACGCAGTAGAAATATGGTCAAAATTACTGAAAAAAATTGCCATCAATCGCAAATAACATGGAAATTATTACTTTTATCTTTAGTCTTTTTACTTTTCATAAAACCTCAATACATTTTTCTTTTTATTTTCTTGAAAGAGTTTGGCTCATCTGGAGGCATGCAGCTTTAAAAACTTATAACGTAACATTTCAAGCTGTGTAAGACGCTGAGGGTTCCTCTCAGAATCATTCCCTATACTTCAAGGTACCAGACAAGGAATGAAAAGTTCACCAACGCTGTATCTTCTCTGTCAATCATTATGATCTTATCAATAAACTTACAAACAGTCACGTAGGTTTTTGTTTGTAAGGCATGAATATTTGTACAGTGGCTGATGACATGGTATTGGTATCCTTCTCAAAGAATGGACTAGATGAAATGTTGTCTATATGCGATGATTATTAGAAACGATAGCGCTTTGCATAAAACGGAACCAAATGTGGAATCATAGTCTTTATTGAACGTAATAATTTAAAATCATCACGGCAGTGGAAACTTGGTGCTCAGACAATTGAAGAAGAAGAAGACTATACACATCTTGGTATCAGTTGTAAAGACTTCATGTCAACAAAGAAGTCAATTCAGGATGCAGGTACATATGCAGGTGCAGCTACGGGGTACATACTTAAACATAATAAACAGTGAACTATGTACAAACGAACTTAACTCACTTACAGTCGCAGGTAAGGCACAGACATATTTAGCTCAATGTATAAGATAACTTTTTTAGCATTTAAATCAGTTATTTATAGAATTTAAGATCTCTCTTAATAAAATAATTGTTACAACATGAACTCTTGCATTAATATCATATTAATCATATATTAGTCGCCGGTAGAAATATAATAAGCCAGAAATATTACAACAACAGGCCAACAAAAAATTGAGAGGGACTAATGTGGGCTTAACCCCTCTGAACGCACTTCCAGAAATACGATAGTTTAAAACTATAAATTTAGGGTGTAAAAGATCAACATGTGATCATATTTTAGTTGTTTATACTAAAATATCAAAAGTTAAGTATGTTATTAGATATAGAAATGTAATATTAACTCAGTGAAGTAGTGTTTGTACGTCAGATATATGTTTTTTTTACAAAAAAAAAAGAAAAAAACATATGAAAACAAAATTACAGAAATGGCAGAGAAAATGAGATAAAACAAATTGACGACTCAGACTTAAAGCATGAAAAACTCAGCAGAAAAGCAAAAGGGAACCTGACTCCATAAATTCCGACATACCAGTTTACTGTGACGAGGATGACCTTATGGATATGGATATTAGCATTAATTTTACATGCTACTCCTGCAACATTCCTTTTGTTAATACAAACGCTATATAAGTTTAAAATTAAATTTATTTCAATATTCCATTGGACAAAATGGTCCATGAGGATAAACAAACGCATGATAAAAGACAAGACAGTGTAAAACATATACATACAATGCGTTAGTGTAAGTGGAGAAGGTATACACAAATTTATCATAAATAACAGAACAAAAGAATATTCAACGTTAAACATAATGCTAAATTAATTACCACTGTCTAGCAAAACTTACGGAGAGGTAAACTTCATACATTGTATTGAATTAATTTGACAAGATATATACTTATAGATGAAATATTAATGAAATAAAATGCGTATTTTCATTTTCAGTATTTTCACTGTAAAAAATTATTATATAATGCTTAACAATTTGTATTTGAAATGTTGTTTATGTTTTGTATGGATGAGGCTTTAATAAAGATGTATAAAATCATTGACCTGTATATCTGATGAACTAAAGCGTTCATTTAAATCATTTATCTGTACAAACATATAATATACCTAATTATCCATTGAACTAAATCAAAACAATGATATACGCGTGTAAAACAAATCGATATAAAAGCCGTATTGAACTTATCAATAATTTCTAACTATTAATATTGATAATATTATATGCCTTAATTTAGAAGCACTGTTACCATACAATATTCATAAGAAAAATAAGCAAAAACAAACATAATTCTACTTAACAAATTTATTTGCTAATTTTAAATATTGCTTTCAACGCTTGTCCAGCAATGATATTTTGAGATTCTGCAAAGGATCCCCTGATGTGAAAACAATTCCTGAATATGTAAACATGCTAACTTTATCAATAAAATTTTCCTTGCAATAAAAATTAATATTTCTGGGCAAAATTCACCATATCTAAATATCATTATTTTCGTCTTACATGTGTTCACTGAAAGTTTCCATCTATCACAATAATCTGCTTAAACATTTAAACCTTTTTGTAGTTCGTTTTTACTTTTTGCAAGAATAACAATATCCTCAGCATATAAGATTAAGAACATTTTAAACATATCAACATCAATACATTTAATTTCACTTTTTATAAATTCATCTTCAAGGTTTTCAGATACATGGAAAAGAGATAGGGAGACAAACACTCTCCTTGTTAACACCAAGAAAACATTCGTATGGATCACTTAATCTACTACAATGTTTTACTCTTGTTTTTAATGTTGTATACATAGATTTTAAAATATTTAAATGTCTCCACTTAATGTCCCAGTTTTATCAACTTATGCCATAAATTATCATGAACAATATAATCAAACTCTTTAGTAAATACTGACAAAGACAAAAGAGTTGTTTGCTCTGACAGACATTGTAAAACAAAAATATTATCTAATTTAATTCAATTCAATTCAAGATTCTTTATTAAGTAACAAAAACAAGTTATGTTTCTTGTTACATGATACAATTAACATTACACATGACAAATACAAACAAGAGGGCCATGATGGCCCTGAGGTCGCTCACCTGTATATAGCCCCCCCCCCCCCAATCTAAGCTCTAGCTCATTGGGCTTTTTAAAAGAAGATTTTTTTTAAGTTTTTACTATACACATATAGTTAAAAACAATGACACCGCTGCGGCCGGGCCAGTTTTGACCCCAGGGCTTTTATTTGTGTAAACTTTGTAGACACTTACTAGAAAATGTTTCATGCTTAATATCTAAACTCTAGCTATTTGGGCTTCTTAAAAGAAGATTTTTTTTAAGTTTTTGCTATACACATATAAAGAAAAATCAATGACCCCCGGGGCGGGGCCAATTTTGACCCCAGGTCTTTTATTTGAACAAACTTTGTAGACACTCACTAAAAGATGTTTCATGCTTAATTATAATATCTTAACTCTAGCTATTTGGGTTTTTTCAAAGAAGATTTTTTAAGTTTTTGCTATACACATATAAGGAAAATCAATGACCCCCGGGGTGGTACCAATTTTGACCCCAGGGCTTTTATTTGAACAAACTTGGTAGACACCTATTAGAACATGTTTGATGCTAAATATCTTAGCCATAGCTCTTTGAGTTCTTTAAAAGAAGATTTTTTAAGTTTTTACTTTATGCATATAGGGAAAATCAATGACCCCCAGGAGCGGGGCCAATTTTGACCCCTGGCTTTTATTTGAACAAACTTGGTAGACACTTATTAGAACACGTTTCATGCTAAATATCTTAGCTCTAACTCTTTTGGTTCTTTAAAGGAAGATTTTTTAAGTTTTTACTATATGCATATAGGGAAAATCAATGACCCCCCCGGGGCGGGGCCAATTTTGACCCCAGGGCTTTTATTTGAACAAACTTGGTAGACACCTATTAGAACATGTTTGATGCTCAATATCTTAGCCATAGCTCTTTGAGTTCTTTAAAAGAAGATTTTTTAAGTTTTTACTATATGCATATAGGGAAAATCAATGACCCCCGGGGCGGGGCCAATTTTGACCTTAGGGCTTTTATTTGAACAAACTTGGTAGACACCCAATAGAACATGTTTCATGCTAAATATCATAGCTCTAGCTCTTTGGGTTCTTTAAAAGAAGATTTTTTAAGTTTTTACTATATGCATATAGGGAAAATCAATGACCCCCCGGGGCCGGGCCAATTTTGACCTTAGGGCTTTTATTTGAACAAACTTGGTAGACACCCAATAGAACATGTTTCATGCTAAATATCATAGCTCTAGCTCTTTGGGTTCTTTAAAAGAAGATATTTAAAGTTTTTTCTTTCGGTTGCCATGGCAACCAGAGTTCTGCATGGAATTAAATTCTTTGAACAATTTTTAAAGGTGACCACCAAAGGAACATTCCTGTGAAGTTTGGATGAAATTGGCTTAGTGGTTTATGAGGAGATGTCATTTAAAGTAAAAGTTTACGGACGGACGGACGGACGGACGCCGGACGAAAAGCGATCACAAAAGCTCACCCTGTCACTTTGTGACAGGTGAGCTAAAAAGACATGAATGATTAAACTCACTGAAAACAAGTAAGCATAATGAGCATATACAAGAGGATGAACTATGTACAATTTGCTTGGCTTTAATTAAAGCAGCACACCTCTAGATTCCTGATAATGTTCATGAAAATTTTGAAAATGTATTTAAAAGTAAAATATTGTTAAACTGACTGAGAAAATAATATGCACATTTCAAACGGCACTTACAACCATGTTTAATTACAAAAAAAGAGGTAAAAATATGCAAAATTAACCCTTACTGCGTTAGTAACACAGTAGAAATATGGTGAAAATAACTGAAAAATTGGCCATCAATAGCAAATAACATTGAAATTATTACTTTTATCTTTAGTCTTTTTACTTTTCATAAAACGTCAATACATTTTTCTCAAGTTATATTTTCTTGAAATATTTTGGCTCATCTGGAGGCATGCAGCCTTAATGACATGTCTTTGGTATTAGCCATCATAATGCCTCTTATAATAATATAATCTATTTCATCTCCTCCAACTCTTTCAAAAGTTTAACTCTTGAACAATGGCCGCCAAGCGTTGTCCAATCTTTGTGATTCTGTAAGATTGAGAAATAAAATGTCAGTCATCTATTAATTGTGTATAATTGGGATATATTTATAACTTAAACTTTAAAACATTTTAATAATTTAGGTTATTATTATTTTTTGTTTTGAGAAGATGAAATATAATAGTTGAATGCTAAAAATTTATGAGTTGGACACGATAAAATTTCATTATTCGGCGGTACCATTAGAATAAATTGGGCTGGGCAATTTATTTGATTATTTAATCGTGCATTTTTGCCATAAAATAAAATCATAGTTGATATACACACATAAAGTCCAATAACATAGTAATGTCATGACATTTCTACATTTTAACCATTTAGCTGAATGATTGTATCCATTTAAATGGAATATACAGGAAAAGAATTACAAATATAGTTTTTTTTGAGTGGCGACATGGCCGAGTGGATAACGCGTCAGACTAGTAATCTAATGATCGCTAGCTGTATGGGTTCAATCCCCGTCAGGGGCAAGTCGTTGTTTCCTTGAGCAAGAAACTTTACACTCATTGCTCAGTACTGGTTGGTTCCAGGAACGGATTCGAAAGTGTGTCTATAAGCTTATAGCTTCCTACACAATCGAACTAAAATAAATTCTGTATAATGTTGTGCAGCAGAAAAATGATAAAATTCTTTAAAAGAAAATCATCATGCATATTTATTCATTTTTTTTAAAGAATTTTATCATTTTTCTGCTGCACAACACATTCTCCACCAAGTATTATGCGCTGAATTATGGGTTCTACTGAAGGTGGATTGAATCTCAACACAATGTTCCGTTTTATATATTTTAATGTTAATATTTCTTAGTGGAATACCACAAATAATATATAACATATACACAGGTTATCCTTATGTTAACAAATAGATATTAAAAAACAGTAACAAATATTTCTAGTGGAAAGCCACAATGTTATTCATTGGAAATCCAAAATCTAACTGTTCGATTTCTCTATCTTTACAATATTTCTAAAAATGGTTTCGTTTTAAACTGACCAATAAAATTTTAACATTTTTGTGTCTTAAATAACAAAATGACCAATCAGGTTTCAATACAAAATAAGGTAACATAGCAACATAGAATTTATAACAACAATCATCACCTGGACATTTTATCAGTAATAAGGTTTAACAACTTATTAAGTACAGACGGCTAAATTGACATTATCACCTAAATATAATAAAACTTTTAGCACAGTTGATTGGACAAAGAGGAAAAGCCATATTTAATCTTCCGGTTACATAATTATTAATTTGACATCTGTTATTAAAACATATAATATTTGTAACTTAACATATTTGAAATTTTACACATTGTTCTGAAAATTTGACCTTTTAGAAAGTGATTATATTTATAAATCTTTGTGTTTAAAAGAAAATCATCATGCATATTTATTCATTTTTTTTTAAAGAATTTTATCATTTTTCTGCTGCACAACACTTCTCCCTCCTTTAAGATTATTTCACTCCTGTGAAATGAAACATAACTATGTATGTAACAAAAAAAATATTATTAAAAGAATACTGTTTATCACAGATGTTAATATAACAAGCATTTTGCAATTCTTTGTCTAGTGTAAAAGGTTTTTAGCACATTGGCTTCTCTGTAACAACATGTCACCTGTTTGAGACATTCCAATTGACCACCTAAATGTACTTGAGATTTAACAAAGAAAAAAGGGTATAGTTTAGTTTTAGCAATCAATGCGAAACAATCTCTAGTAGTTTGGAATATACCGGAGGCCCCGACATAGAATAGTGATGAAACAGAGAAAAAAATTATATTCTTTATGCCTGAAAAGATATAAGTCGCAAGTGAATATGTAGATGCTGTAAAATTCAAACGTGTTCATAGGATTGGACTAAAAGGCAATGGTAGATGTCGTAAAATTGTGGCAAAATTTACATTGTTCAAAGAGAGGGAAATGATCAGAAAGCAGTGGAAAACTCTAGAGAGCACACCATTTTTTGTGCATGAACAATTCCCAAGGGAGGTTAGCGACAAACGAAGGCTTTTACTACCAAAGATGAAGGAAGCGCGGAAACAAGGGAAGACGGCTTGGCTGGCGTACGACACGCTCTATATTGACGGGCGACCAGTGAAGGATTAGGGACTCAGAGAGGATGACCTTAAGATTCTGTCTTGGAATGTTAATGGATTAACCCGAGGTAAACGTGGATATGACGATTTTGTGAAAATTATTTCAGATAACGATATTGTGTTTTTATATGAATCTTGGACAAATAACTACAGTAACATTGAACTTTCGGGTTATCAAAGTTTCAATTTCTACAGAAAATTTCAACACCGTAATGCAAAGAGATGTAGCGGGGGTATTGTGTTGTATTATAAAGACTCATTATCAGGTGGTATTGAACTTGTAAGAAATCATTATGACACTATAATTTGGCTAAGATTAGATAAAACATTTTTTAACCTTGACAATGATGTATATATATGTGGGACGTATGTTTGGGGAGAAGACTCTCCCGCATACAATGTTGTAAATATTGACTTATTTGGCTTGTTAGAAAATGATATAAATGATTTTGATTCAATGGGTTCCCTGTATATTTTTTGGAGATTTTAATAGTCGAGTTGCATAAAAAAGTGATTTTATAGTATTTGATAAAAAGAAATGACTATATAGATACCGACGATTATGTTCCCGATATACCTATAGCTCGGGGCCTCTTTAGATAAGTCATTTAACAGTTATGGATTAATGGCTCATTGATCTTTGTAAAAGCACGGGTTTACGCATAGTTAACGGCAGATTATGTGATGACTACAATATTGGTAATTTCACTTTTGTAAATCAAAATGGGGCATCTGTTATAGATTATTTGTTGACAAAAGAATGTAATTTTAAAAGTATCTGTAATTTTGAAATTTGTAGCATAAATGAATGGAGTGATCATGCACCCATTATATTTTCTTTTTCATGTCAAAAGCATTTAAACGTATCTCGTGAAGAAGACAAATTACGGATTAAATGGAATGCCGAGTGTAGAGATGAGTTTCGCTCAGGTATAATCTCCAGGTTACCTGATTTAAATCGATTAACAAATAGTATTGATATTAAGCAAAGGTCGTCAATAAATGATACAGTTAATAGTTTTACAAGCATTGTTAGAGAAGTAGCCCGATCCTATATTTTCGAAACTTATCAATTGTAACAAAAATGTAACTTTTTGTGATACGCCCTTGGGGAAAAATAATGATTGGTTTGATATTGAATGTCAAAAAATGCAAGAACTTGTTATTTAGATTCTTTGCGAGTATTTAATAGTGTTAAATCTCGCCAAAATAGGGGAATATTTTTGTTCATGTAAAAAAAGAATATAAGACTATTGTCCGCAGAAAGAAAAGAAATTTTGAAATAAAAAAATGAAAGAGCTTGAGAAGTTAAAATGTTTGTAATCCAAAACAGTTTTGGAAGTATTTTTAATAAAAAACAAAATGTTAAAAGGAGAAAATAATATTTCTTTAGATGAGTTTTTTTGAGTATTTTTCAAACTTAGAAACCGATTTATTTCAATGTAAAAATGAAGAAGCTGAACATTTTTGTTCCGTTCATAACTTTGACGATATTGACTGCCCATTCGCAGAATTAGATTGTACAATTACAGTTGAGGAAGTCTTAAAAGTTGTTAAGCAACTTAAAAGGGATAAGGCCATGGGTAGTGACTTATTGATGAACGAATATTTTATGGAGAGTATAGATATTATTGCTAGTCATTTGTGTGATATATTTAACGCGCCGCGCGGGGTGTTAAATTCCGGTATTTATCCGGAAAAAAATGGTACGAAGGTGTGATTATACCATTGTTTTAAAAAGGGCAACAGGGAAGATGTAAATAATTACCGTGGCATAAACCTTAGTTAGTTGCTTATCAAAAATATTCACTGGCATACTTAATAATAGAATTATTTCTTTCTGTGATAGCAATAATGTTATATCCGACGCACAGTTCGGTTTTATGAAAGGCCGTTTCAACCGTAGATGCTGCTTTTGTTGTTTTAATGTCTATTATCCAACATTTCCTAAATGAAAATAAACGATTATACGCAGCTTTTATAGATCTTAAAAAGTGTTTTGATAGTATATATAGGAATGCTTTATGGCTTAAGCTTTATAGACAGGGGATACAAGGCAAATTGCTTAGAATAATTAGAAATATGTATGTTAATGTCAAATCTTTTGTTAAGAAATGTAATTCATATTCTGACTATTTCTGTTATGCCTTAGGCTTACGTCAAGGGGAGGTAATGTCCCCTCTACTTTTTGCAATGTTTGTTGAGGATCTAGAATTGCAACTACAGTCGCCCGAAAGCCCTGGTATATGTATAGACGACATAGTTTTAATTTTGTTGTTGTTTGCAGATGATATGGTCATTCTAGGAAAGACTCCTGCGGAATTGCAAAAACAGTTTAGATCTTTTACACACATATTGTGATACCTGGGGTTTGGAGGGTAAACGCGGAGAAAACAAAAAATTATGGTGTTTAGAAAGCGCAGAGTTTATTTACCTAACGAGAGTTGGACCTACAATGGCCATAACATTTGAAAATGTAAATGATTTTAATTATCTTGGAACGGTGTTTAACTACACCGGTAATTTTTCAATGAATCAGGAGCACTTATCAGGTAAAGCTTTAAAGGCACTGAATGTGCTCTTGGTAAAATGTAATAAGTTTAAATTAAAACCCTTATTGTTATGTCAGTTATTTGACGCATTTGTTGGTGCTATATTGAACTATTCATCAGAACTATGGGGTTACACAAAATCAAAGGTAATTGAAAGAATCCATCTTAAGTTTTGCAAACGTATTTTAAATGTTAGAATTTCAACCGCAAGTGCTGGTGTTTACGGCGAGTTAGGAAGATTCCCGCTATATATAACAAGATACGTAAGAATTGTAAAAATATTGGTGTAAATTGCAACAGTCATATAATATTATTTTACAAAAGACATATGAACAGGGTTTGATTAGATTGTATAAAAGGACGTAAAAACTGGGTTTCAAACAGTTAAAAAATTACTAAGTGATTATGGATTTGCAGATGTTTTCCTCAATCCTATTAGATCGGTTGATTTTAAAAAATTTCCTAAATATTTTTAAGACACGAATAGTTGATTGTTATAAACAAGATTGGAACGCATCAGTAAATAATTGTGCAGTGCTTGAAAATTATAAACATATTAAGCAAGAGCTAAGGTATGAAACTTATTTGGATATTTTACCTTTTAATCTAAGAAGTTATTATACAAAACTTCGTTTTATCAGCACACTCACTTAGGATACAGACCGGTCGTTATTCAAGAAATAGAATACCTAGAAATGAAAGATATTGTTTGCAATGCAATTTTGTTAGACTTAGAAGATGAATTTCACTTTTTATTTAAATGCCCATGTTATGAAGATATAAGGAAGAAATACATTAAAAGATACTTTTTTCAAAGGCCGAGTGTGTTTAAAATGATGCAGCTGCTAACAAATAAAAATTATACTGTAATAACAAATCTAGCAAAATATATTAAAGCCGCTACATACGTACGACTTTCACTATTAAGTAACTGATATTCACGTACATTGTTCATCCTTTGTATACTGTTTCACAATGTTCATCCTCTCTATACTGTTTAATCTTAATTGATATCAAATTATATGATTACAAGCAAATGTTCTTCAGATTTTGATCACAATAAAATTTCTTTCATCTGTTTGTTAAAATGGTTTCTCGACCTATGCACATAATTAATTTAAATTATATGATTGCATATATGTGTTTATTGTATGATGAATTACTTTTGCACAAATCTCAAATACTATTCCTGCTTTGTTTTACTTAGTATGTATTATTGTGCAATCAATATACTTTTCAAGTGTTAACATAACCATGTGACATGATATATTGTATTATATATATATATTTGCAAGACGATGTATTATGTACAAGTCTCAAATAAAATGTCTGTTCTGTTCTGTTCTGTGTTTTATCATTTATAAATTTATGCCTTATTTTGAAATCAGAAAATACAAAATAAAATTTAAAATGAAATTCAATACAAATATTTCACTCACTTATTTAATATACACAATATAAAATATAACAAGAAAATAGCTAATTTTTCATAGCATGACAATAAACCAAATATAGTTTTACAGAATTCGAAGCAAACGCTTATTAAAGAGATAGGCAATAAAACCGTATGCTTTGCGTCAATATTGATGTAAACAGAATAAAAGGTATGTTCAAAATAACTATTTTCAACCATACATAAATTTAAGATCAATACACACCTGTATCAGATCAGAACCATAGTAGATTGTGAAAACACCACAATCAATTCCATTGTTTTGTCTTGGAACCTAAAATATAATTTAACATAAGTATTATGTCATTTTCTCATCTTGGAATTATACATTTATTTATAAATCTGGAAACAAAGTGATCCCTCAGAAGCATGAATCACAACAAAATTACAAGAGAATTGCAGACTCGGTTTGATTGAGTCTGTACATGAGGGATACTGAATAAGTGCAACATCCCTCACGCCCCCTAGCACCGGCTGGAGCGGTACTCAATTCTCAACACTTAATAGTGCTGGCATCAAAGGAAGGACCAGAAAAATATAACAACATGAGCATTCAAAGTTGTATAAGAAAACAGAGCCTTTGATGCCATAAATTATCAAAACTGATGAAAATAAATAATTTGAATCATACATGAGTGTCACAGCAAAATGATATTATTGTTGCCTT